CGGACGGACTCAGATTACAAGTCTGTCGGCGTGAGCTGTATGTTGTTCGTACCGTGTGTCTATTACGGCAGGGTGGAGACGTGTTGATGTGAGTGGAGTTTCCTATGTCGACGGCCGTCGGCGTTGTTCGGAAGCTTGACGTTTACCTTTACCGGCCTTCCTTGGTAGTCCCCGCGGAGGACACCTTTAGTGTAGAGTACGTGGGTAAACGTTCACGTTCGCACCAAATTCCGTCCTCGGTCCCGGAGACAACTTCGGTCCGCACCACTCTTATGTATTTCGACCGCCACGTGTGTGTCGAAATTTTGTCAGGTGGAGTCGGGACCCGGCCCAGGGTGTGGTGGACAATAGATCGACGTCCCGGAATCGTTACGATCGCGCACTGCCCCGGCTAGGCCAAAGTGGTCTAGTTGCCGACCACGATGAGCGCGACACCCCTTTCCCCCTGCCTTTCCACCCGTAGACACTACGATAGAGGTCTGGGGGAAGTAGAGAGCTGCTGGGTTAGTCTACGGTTAGGTGTAGTGTGAATCACGACTCGATTCATTTGTGCTCCGTCGTTAGATTTACCCCAATAATAAGTCCGACTTTCACTCCATTCTGCACACCTCTTCACTTCATATGGTGTGAATATGTGTGTGCCGTGTACGCTCCCCACACGTCTTGTTCTCACACGTTACTCCTTCTTGTCCCGGGAAACACTTTGGAGGACGGTACTCCTTCGTCCCTCTTCCCCCTTTTTCCGATTTTCCTCCTTACCAGAGGCCCCTTTTCCAGTCGGAATTTTCTACCTTGCAAAGAAATGTCGTCCAGGGTCGCCGTAAATCAAGGTTACCGGTAAGTCGTCGTCCACTTACGGAAACCCGTTAGTCTACCCGGTTAGGCCCCGCCCACGCGCTTGTTGAGCACCGTATTACTCTGTGTCGTGCTCCGTTTGGTTACGTCTAGCTCCTCCTTGGTAACGTGATCTGCCCCTTGTGCGACGATTTGTCTGCCTGGACCCCCCAGGGAAACTGGGTCCGTAGTTGCTGACGCTCAGTCGACGAAGAGTTAGAGGGAAGGTTAACGTGGTCTAGTTAATTTTCTCAAAGGAAACATAAAGTATCTCTCCTTGACTCTCCTTCGACTTGGGACGTTCTTCGACTACTTGTCGGTTCAGGTGTGTTTACTTTCCCTGACCCCCCTACCTCTACTCCACACTGATTCATTGTCACCTTCATGGGTGGAAGGGACAAACGCGAAGTGTCTCCCGTTTTCTCTCTCCCTCCCATAATTATCCTTATCAATAGGGTAGTACTTGGAGATCGAGAAATGGGTCACAGCGTAGACATGTTAACAAGGCTTTCATCAAGGTCGGAAGGTTATTACATTGGTGTTAGACTTTCGTGTCGCCATGTTTAATAGAATTTGAGCGACGTCTGAAAGCATCTTTGGAGTAGTAACCGGGCGGACATTAACCAGGACCCGCCTATACCATCCGATCGTTATTGTTCGGCTGATCTCGCAATAATAAGGACGTGTAAATGCGGTCAGGGTGTCACTTTTTCCCGTGTGTCGGTGGAGGGTGGTCGGTAGGACACTAACCAGCATGTACCTCTTTCTCGAGGTCTGTCTCCCACCGTGAGTCGTCACACGCAGAGGTCCGGATAAGTATTGGTCGGGGAAACATTCCCCACGTACTACAACCGTCGGTGCAGTCGCCAGACGTTCCGACACCACCGTACGCCTTTTATCATACTTATCTTTTACTCTCAAGCATTTACTTCGTAGTCCCTTTTTCCCTCCACCCGAGTTATTCAGTTCGATATTTGAGTAGTCTACTTAAAGATACCGCGGTTTTGGTGTATCCGACCGGATTTCTTGTCCGGTTCCCAAGTAATTGACTTAATTCAGTGCTATTGTATGTTTAAGGTTCAGTAAGAATTCACTTCTCCGTTGTGTAAACATATCATAGGTCCAACTTCTCGATTTTGGATGTGACATTCATTTTTCTTTTTAGTTGTCAATTCATTTCGGTCGTTTACAACTTCCGATCAATTTAAGGTAAATGTATGGGCGGTCATGGAAAGCCGGACGCAAAGGTGCCACACGCGTGTCACTTCCGAAAAATTCTCTATTAACTGCCTCGAAATCAATCGGGAGCAACGTCGGAAGACAAGAAAAACTTTATGGTTACCACGTCGGTTTTGTGTAAAGAGTGGGATTGATTCCCACAACTTGTCGGTTCGACACGAAAGTAATCCTCCGTTGCAGTCGACCGGTAAAGGTTTGAGCTGTGAGTGACATGACATTTTTCCTTAGGCAGAGTTAGAAGTACCTCTTTAATACTAGACTTTCTGTTTCGTAGGCGGAACCAATGGAGAGTAGAAGTGACTATAATTGCATTTCCTTTAACTTCCATTGCCAACCACACTCGTCGGAACCAGTCGTTCCTCGTGTCGAGTAATGTAAAGGACTAGTTGGTCTTCTTTGGTTGTTAGTCTTCACAGGTTCACGTCAAAGTGGGTGTGTTTGTGTCTCCTCTCTCTATGTTATTGAGAATGAAGAATTTCTGGTCCTACCGCTATGCTAATTTACTACTCTGGTGTCGGTCGTGGCCCGGGTACTGGGTGTTGTAAGCCCCAACGAGGTATAGGCGCTGGTACGGCATTCCCTGGACCTTGTCCAGACTTATCTGAACGGACTCTTCAGTAGACACTCCTTTTCTTTTTTCTCTTTCACGTCCACCGTGACACCTGTAGTCTACATCGTTTCCAGGGAAGAATACCTTTACCTGTCATTCCAATGAATCTGATAGGAATTTTCGTTTTTCGTCTTGCACCACTTCCACTTCAGTTGGTAAGTTGTTTAAAAATACCAATAATCATAATACCACTAACCCTAAATTTTTCATCAGTTTAATTTCTTAATAAGTCTTTGACCGTTCACTTAATGCATCCACGAAAAATTGATGTTATCTTCGTTAGTTGTCTCGATACTTTTTGTATTAGTAATATGAAAAAGATTACTACTACTCTATTGTTCCCTTGTTGTTCCTTTTTTTACATATATTTTGCTGACACAATCCCGCGAGTAATTAGCATAAATAGTGTTATCCTATACCGAACGTTCTATGTTTTTGTTGCCTAGCTTTATTTGTAAAAAAAAATAATATGAAACAAGAAGGAAAAAAATTTAACCTAAAAAGTCAACCTAATATGGACTTTCAGCCCATTAGTTGAATTTTTTATGACACTGTGGTAAAAAAAGAGGTTATTACTAAAAATATTCATTTACCTATTGTAAAATATTAGCACTATAGTTAATAAACCTGGGTTTATTAGCTCTATACTAAACGGTTATTAGCTCGTCGGGATGAACAAAATAACGCTTTTCTTGTCCCTCGGTTTACTGGTTGATAGCCGTGGTAAAGATCATTGACCCGTCTGGACTCCTCTTGAACAGGACAATTACTGTCTGGTACCAAGACCCTTACCGTCGTCTTGCTAGTATTTCGTATCTAGTATTGGTTCTCTGTGAGCGTTTTGTTATTGGTAGGGAGCGTTACTTCAATACAAAGATATTTGTCACGTAGGCAATCTCTACCACTGTCTCGTCCACACTCTGTCCTCCCCTCTCTCCGTCCCCACTACAGACAGGGAACCAGCGGCGCCTCTTTTACCCCCGGTTCCTTTCCTGAGTGGAAGAAGTATCACAGGTGTGGCACCTGGCCTTCCCCTCCTCTTATCCACTGCCATCCCACGCAAGGTGGAACCAACTTTACTCTGGAGAGATACGATGAAACGCAGGTTACTGCCTCCGCCTATTCCTTACCCTCCACTAGGAGAGAGGTAATGTTGCTCTCAAAATGCAGCAGATTGATGCTTTTAACTTCAACATTTAAAAACAAATCTTCCCGGGGGAGCATGCCCCCGGACCCCCCTAGAGGAGGTTAGGTCCCCCCCCCACTTCAATCATGTTCACATGGATAGGATACTAAATACATTTGCACACATATTGTGTCCATATCTTTCTGTTTTGGTGGTCATGCCACAACCGTGCACATGCATGCATACGTGAGTCATGGTAAAATATCTGGATTAAGAGGTTGCTTTTGATTTGCACAGCAAAAAAAAAAAAAAAATGGGCTGTGTTTTTTTAGTTTTTTTAAGCAGAGTTCAATAATGTGTACGGCCCTCGGAGGATGTTGAAAAAATTGAAATGGCCCTTGAGAAGAAAAAGATTCCCCACCCCTGCTTTAGAGCCTCTTCATGTGTCGCATACAGTAACTTTTACCACACAAGGCAAGTTCCCAGCAATCCGTTTAAGCACAGAGCCTTGCCAAGTTCAGAGGCACAGAGGGAATTTGTGTCGGTAGATTAGCAATAAATCGTCCAATAACTCTGCGATGAGAAATCTAGAGAATGACAGGGGGAGGGTTGTTGGATTAATCCAGCCCAAGCACTCCAGGCTGGGCCGTAAGATAGTCTATTGTAAGGAAAGAGGTTTTCAAAGAAATGAGTTTTGGCTGATGACCAGTGAGTTCCTTTTTCTTCTGTGGGAAGCGACAGTGTGACTGATTTGTAGAGACTTGTGGGTTCTTGCTCTGATCCCACCTCTGCCACCCATTGAGTGTTGTGGAATCAGAGCGATGTCTGCCTCCTGCTTCCATCCAGGAGCATGCTCACCCAGTCACTCATGTGCATCGCCGTGCCCACCCCACCTCTGTCCTCCTCACTTAGCATGACGACATCAACAAATGTCACCAGCCTGTTTCAACTTTTGAGCTCTCTCTCTCTCACCTCTCTCTTCTCTCTCTCTCTCTCTTTCTTCATGCATCGTTGAACAAAGTGCACTCTCTTCACCGTTCCACAGCCACCTCATGGTCCCACCGGCAGCCTCACTCACCCCGTGGTCCAACCATTGTTTGTGTCGATGTGCGTGTTTGGTGTAGGCACAGCTCGGTCTCACTCTTTTCTTTGTGTTTCCCCATGTTCCTCTTCCTCCTCTTCCTTTCCCAGGAATGAGGGAACACCCACCCATTCCTGTCACTGACCTGGCCGACCACATAGAGCGACTGAAGGCCAATGACGGCCTCCGCTTTTCCCAGGAGTATGAGGTAAGACCCGTGCACTCATAATGCGTCAAAGTCTCTTTGAAGCATATACATGGGTTTCATTGTTATTTTGTCTGAAAGGAATTTGTGTCATTATGCCTCTTTGATCCCATATGCATGTATTCTAATGGATTATGGAAGACTTCTTTCACAGACATTTTTCAGTCATTTTTACAACTCTATTACCAATCCCACCAGGAAACTCACACTTACAATGAATGCTGCAAGATGCTTTCTCACAAAACTAGCAGGTGGCGAGTTGCTTAAGCAATCTGTGTGCGTCTTGATGTTTCCCCGGAAGAATGTTATTTTGCAGGCGGTCTCCCCATTGCAACTCGGTGAGGGATTATCTCTTGTCAGTGTTCTTACTAGAAAGAAAAAAAGGAGCACATTTACATTTAAAGTGGCACACAGAGGGTTTGGGGACGAAGCAAGGCCAGGTGAAGAGAAAAGGCATCCTAGAATACAGAAAAACAAGAGCCGTCTTTTATTTATTTGTCCTGAACGTTCGATCCGTTTTGTCTAATCAGCTCTATTCCTCACATTGATAGGTCTAACAGCCTGGCCGTTGGAACGATTGTAGATTTTTTTTTTTACTTTCACCTAAAAAGTGTGTACAGTATGAGTTGCTACAGCATGAAATGTGCTCTTTCATTTCGAACTCCCCAGAGGAACAGCTAATTTATTTTGGTGACCTCATGACCTATCCTCCAGCATCACCACAAGCCAAACTTTTATTAATGCTCTGTTCAAAATGTGAAAATAACATTACTGTTATAAACCCTGTGCCATTGTCACAATGAAAAGAAAAATCATTTACAACCTTATATGGTGCTTACAATAACATCCAATGTTATTGAGTGTTTGGTCTTGCATGAATGAGGGGAATTAAATTAATTCAGATTTCATGCATGAGCTTTTCTTAATTGTAGTACAAAATGTATTCTAATTTAACAACCATGCAAATCCTACCTTCAAGAAGGTTAGGGTGCCACGTTTTTGTTGAAACTGCTGGAGTGGCATTACTTTGACTTCAATGTATTTTTGTGGTGATTATCTTATACTGAGAGGTGTTTGTAATACTTTTCAACCTCCTTTATATCAGTGAGGGTAGACTAAAACATTAAAAAAGTATAATTTTGAATATAATCTGTAAGAAGGAGCCATTATAATGTGTAGAAAAATACTTGTACGACAATACAGTTTATATAATATGACGTAGAACATATTGAAGTGATTCGCCATCAAATGAACTGGGGAGATAATTAGGCCGTGGTAAAAGTCTGCACTCAGTTAAGTGCTGTCTTGTGTTACTCAGAGCCATCCAGCACATCACCCTCCCAGCCTGTTGAGTTAGTGTAAACGAATCAGGCCCTGGAAGTGGCTTGTATGACTGCAGGCAACCGGCCCGGCCCCGTTCCCTCTCCGCAAGTCATTCCAAGCCAGGGAAGACCCCCTCCATGGCCCGGCAGATGGCCCACTATCTCTGTGCCAGCCGAGGCGGAGCTCACAGCGCTTTGTCACGTTCGCCGGCTGCTCGCGTTGAGCCTTACCCAAAGGAACAGAATTTATAGAGGCTTCACCACTCCCTCTCCCCGATGTTTTAGGCGGCCTGACACTTCCTTAGCCACCAACGCCAGTCCACATAAGACTGAGCAATGTGCACAGCGGGTAATGAGCAGAATTTGACAATCAGGCATGCTGCAGCCCCCCCCCCGACTGTTTCTTTAACGCAGGAAGCAACATCACGCTGCAGTCGTCATAGCATCATTATGTCCATTTGAAAGCGTTTCCAATGCGTCAGCAAGAATACCTTGGGCGTTTGCTTCTCACCTCTTTCTAGCATCTCTACCTAACTTGTTTACTAGTTGTCATGAGCCTAGTGTGCCTGCTGTGTTCACTGAGCTCTCAAATGGCTATGACTTTTTTTGACTGCAAATTAAATCTTTCTCTTCTTACTGGCGGGCACGGACAGAGAAAATTGGCAATGCTGAGCTCATCAGCAGCAATAGGCCTATACCCGCATGACTCTTAGTGCTGAGCAATTTGGAGCTGTAGTGGAACATTTCTTGTATATGAGCACTACGCATTTTTCATATTTTGTTCGAAGACAAATATCATGTACATGACTTTCTCTGGCAATTAACTTTGAATATAACAAAGCTTGTATATAACCGATTCTCGGTGTCACTTTACGTAATAAGACAAGATAGTGATAACTGAAAAGTAACTGTCGTCACAGGAGAGCAATTAAAAGCTAATTTCCTGTACTTTGTGATTTACAAATTAACTTAAAGTATCTTGATTGTTTTAATTAGACAAACCATACATTTATGAAGTCTAGCTTAGGACTCCAGTGTTAAAGATGCTACATTGCTGATCACTTTATGGTCCTGGATCTGAATCTCCACACGCTCCAGGCCTCACCCTGTGCCCTCCAGTTTATCATAATCCAATAATTATTATGATTATTATGAGTGAGCTGTCCTGCTTTGACACAAGATAACCTCTAATAATTAAATTAGTGCTCCAGCTCTGTTAAGTAAGTGAAGGATTTTCGAAGGTGTCATTCTGACTCCTGCTGGATTTGCGAGGGGAAAGGTCTGGGGAATTAGTGGACATGGTTCCGGTGTGAGCCGAGGGAGATCGATTCGGAATAACAAGAGACTCTGTGACATTATCGAGCCAAGGGATGGGAGGCCGTCACATATCTCCCCCGATCAATATGTATGCAGTCTACTGTCGTCTCAGCCCGGGAGACAAATGGCGTAAGAAGCAAGGGGTTAGAAAGGATAAAATGGAGAGGATGGAACCAAAATGCAAGATAGGAAAGGGCAACAGAAATAGAAGATGAGGAAAGAAAGAAAGACCGAGGATGAGAAAGTTGAATGGTTACCACAGGAAATCATGCATGTGACTTCTCAGAATTAGGTAATTCGATAGGACCGCCCTAGAGGGAGAGGATGAGTGTTCGTGGTCGCCTGCAAGCTTAGTACGAAACCTTTACTCGTTTCCCAGCTGAAATCTATATGTTCATCATGTTGGCATTAGGAATTGGAGGAATATGTTTGCCCTGTTCAAACAATCCGTGGAAGGTGGCTCTTTTTAGTCGTTGTTGATTTAAATCACGAAACCGTTTCTTCCTCATCAGCATTCAAGGCATCTAATATCATGCAAATAATGAACCTGTTGTAGTTGCAGTGATGCGGCAACATGACACTTTAGCCTCTTTCACACAGCCTGTTCAAGGTGGTGCCGTTCGTCTGCCTCGCTGTTCAGTATAAAGGGTACAGAGATGGATTTCGGGGGCATAGTTGCTCAGCCAGCAGTGGAGATAGTCACAGAGCCGAATTAACGTCTGTGAAAAAGGGAAAACCGTCAGGGCAGAACTAAACTGGCAAACACACACTACACCAATCCTCTTTTGCTTCCTTTCTAAAATCACACACCAGTGTAGAATGAAAGTGGCGTAGTTTAGTTCAGCAACAAAACATCACAGCGGATATTTTTTGCGTAATAAAAAAAAAGGGGCCATTGTTAACTGCTAGCTTTACTCTGCACAGTCTCCTACACTGTATAAAAGCACTTGTAGCATTCTACTGTGGCTTTTCAAGAGACATGATGTGGGTATATGTTCCATTTAAAGGCTTTGTTGACCACAGTATACTGCTGTTGAATGGGTGACAGCAGAAAGTATAATAAGTGTACCCTATTGCCTTACACTCTTTCTGTCTTGCTACCTTTTAACTGTGTAACACTCAAGAGCCTCCTTTGTGCTTCTGTTGTCTTTCTCTCTCTCCATCTTCCTGTCTCTTATTCTCTCATTCCCTCTCTCACAGTCCGTTGACCCGGGGCAGCAGTTTACCTGGGAGAACTCCAACATGGAAGTCAACAAGCCAAAGAATCGCTATGCAAACGTCATCGCCTATGACCACTCCAGAGTGGTGCTCACCTCTGTTGATGGTAAGGGCTCAGGTAACCTCTCCGCCCCGTCACATCGACATACTTCACAAATACCAATGACATTTAGTATGCCTACAGCTGCTTTAGAAATCCCCAGTTCAACCACGTACACACATACACTGTTGTCGCTTTAATATAGAGTGTTGCAACCTTATCAGATCAATAAACCATGCTGTGTAATATAACCCGTGAGTTGCTTCATGTATGTCTTTGTTACAGCGGTTCCAGGCAGTGACTACATCAACGCCAACTACATCGACGGCTACAGGAAGCAGAATGCCTACATCGCCACTCAGGGGCCGCTGCCGGAGACCCTGAGCGACTTCTGGAGGATGGTGTGGGAACAACGGTCCAACACCATCGTCATGATGACCCGACTGGAGGAGAAGTCCCGGGTAAGGAGAGACGGTGTCATTTAGTGTACTAGAAAGCGCTGACAATCATTGACTTCATACCAGTTCAATCTTAATGATGTATTCATTTACTGACATGTTCCTAGTAAAACATTTAATTACACATTAAACAACACGTGAAGTCAATCATTAGAAATTGTAAAAAAAATTACTTCCTCATAATAAATGTGTGAAATACAATGCAACAAAGAAGCCAGAAACACTTGTTGTAGATTTCAAAGCATTTACATGGAGCAGATTATGGTCAAACACAAGGTATGATTGAAGTCACACTCTTTACAACTACTGGTGGCCTCTATGAATCGGACGATATGTGATACTAGAGGAGAACAGATGACTATCGTGTACAACTCAAGGCCATTGAAGTCAACCGTATCAGACGTGTCAGCAGAAATGGATCCCCCTGACATGTAAATGTATATATTTGTATGTAGTTCAACACCTGGGAAGTAACATTACACCCAAAAAACCTGAAGGCATATAGACACCCGACCCTACTTAAAAGCAGGATTTGTCAGCCTGATCAAAGTCTCAAGCACTTCAAAGGATATTTTTGTGTTACTGCTCCGCTCATGATTCTTCTGCAATCTCCAAAAACTTCTCCGTGAATTCAGTCTAAATCTGTTTGTGAAGAAAAATTGCACAACAGCTTTTCTACTATTTTCCATTTTCCCCCCTGCTGTTTGTTTGCCACTTATGGCTAAATAACCATGGCAGCTTTGCATATCATGACAACACGCGCATACCCTCGACTGAAAATCAGCTCAATTATGAACATGTAGAGTATAGTTACATTTAAATGTTCACAATCATGCAAATTATTTTTCAGTTGTTATTTAGAAACTTCTCAGAGAGTTTCGATACTTGATTGCTCCATATTTATTTTAGCTACACTGCGCCAATGTTTCATTGTGTGTCTCGTGTGTTTGCACTTTCTGAGTGTGATTTTCGAAAGACTCGGCACGCAGTATAATGAAAACTCTGAAGTTGGAGTTAAGAGGATTGTCTCCCAACAATACTGTGTGCTTCCTAAAATACACTCAAGCTAATAAAAGCGAAAATAGAGCATGAGGCTAAATTGAGATCCAAAATTGGGATGGGTTTATTTAATTACCTTCACAAAATCATGCTCATGAATTCCTTGGAGGAAATAAATCAGTGTGGAGCCCTGCCAGTGTGTGGTGCTTTATTAGTGTGTGCACTCGGTGCCCTAATGAAACAGAGTCCCCAGACTACGAACTGGAAGCTACCGGGATTGTAAATGAAGTTCATTTCCAAAATCCTAGACATCGATTTTGTTTTGTTTTTAAGGTTGGTTTGAGTCATTACCTGAAGCTCAGTTCATTATTCAGCATCTACAGAGAGTCTGTATAAAGCAATCGTTTTGTCAAGTAAAGCTTCAAATGACTTCCTTCAAATCGTACCATCATCTTTTGTGATTTTGAGCCATCGATGCAATCAATAATTTAAGCAAATTGAGGGCACACAATGTCTTTGTGGAACAGAGCTCATGTATTCATACCTTAGAGAAAATCTACACCTAAGATATTCTTCATAACATGATTTTTATATCACATTCAGTCAATGCTAGGGAGGATACACACCTCCTCACAGATATCCTTCCATGTATTAAGTGTGTTTGAGTGGCAATCCCCAAGCTTTAGGACGGATGAACATGCTCTCTGGCTTTGATCTCAGACTCTCAGGCGCACATAGGAAAAAACATCCTCACACCACAACACAAGGAACCTAAAGGGAAATCAAATGGCCTCACAACCTGAGCCCACCCCCTACACACATTTGAGAAGCAATTGGCTAACCAACACTTTGGAGACGGATGTAAAGAACCAAGCTCAACAAAAATATTCTCCATTTTTCCTGTCAGGGTATCTTGAAATCTTCAGTATAACATCATCAAATGGTTTGGAGCTGGAACAGCCATACCAGTAAGGTGTTTAATTACCCTCTCTAAGAAGAGCATGTGAGGTGTTTATCTGCATTGCTGACATTTCTACTATTGGAAGATATTTCCATATATATTAACTGGGTTTTCTGCTAGAAAAAGAAATGTTTGTGTTCAATTACTCTTTGAACACTGGTTTGTATAAATCACAATTACATTCCTCGCTTTACAGAACAGCACATTTTTATTTAAATTATAATTAGGCGTCAAACTGTGAATTAAATTGATGATATTGTTTCTGCGTTAGCGTTAACAAAAATAACGAAATTGTTTAATAACTGACTTGAAAAATCCTATCAGACTGCAAACTGCATTAGGCAAACAATGTTTGAAAGTTGCTAATGAATAGAGATTTAATATGACAACGCATAACAAAACGCTGACAATACTCTTGATTAGACACATAGCATGCCACATTTTTAGGGAAAATATCCTTCCTCTATTTGTGTATTTCTGTGTCACACACAGACATATTGAGTGAGTTAACCTTCCACCACCCAGACACACTGATGACTTATGCCAAACAGAACTGGAGCTTGACAAATATGATGATGAACCCCGGCAGCAGGCGAAATTTAGCTATCATTACCAGTTAGTAAAACCCTAAAAGGTCAGGACTTGAAATGAGACCAGAGGTATTACTCTCTGTGTGTGTGTGTGTGTGTGTGTGTGTGTGTGTGTGTGTGTGTGTGTGTGTGTGTGTGTGTGTGTGTGTGTGTGTGTGTGTGTGTGTGTGTGTGTGTGTGTGTGTGTGTGTGCGTCTAGATGAGACATTTGTGTCCTCTGCAAAAAGGCCAGGCAACGACATGTGAGAAGCAAGGTTCAAAGCCGCAGCAGATGATAGGTGTGTGTGTGTGTGTGTGTGTGTGTGTGTGTGTGTGTGCGTGCGTGCGTGCGTGCGTGCGTGTGTGTGTGTGTGTGTGGGGGGCCTGTTTCCGACTGCTATTGTGGAACATTACAATATAATCATTTAATGTCATTATACATGTACAATGAAAAAAATAAAAGGTACCATCAAGTGCAATAACAGTTTAGCATGAAAGGGCGGTAACACAAGCAATTTATCTAAACATTTAGCAAAAGTGCACCACATCCAGTAATATTTAGGCTCTATTTAAAAAAAAAAAAACATAACATCGTTTGCCACAAAGGAGTTTGTAGGATTTTGAGTCATTGGCCGGTTGCAGGTTTTGCTATCTGTTGCTGGTGTGATGTGAACCTTACTCACAATACTCCATATTGATGTGGTAAGAACTATATTTCACATGGTGAATGTATGGTTAAATGCTTATTTATTGTACACATCGAGCTGATACAGAGCAACATGATCATACATTTGAAATTGTGTTTCTGTCCATCTGATAAGTCCAATATTCACTATCTTTTAGCCCTGTCTTTGCTCTCCACCAACTCCTTAGTAAAGTACTTGGCTCTTTAGCTGCTCAATGTTCTGCTTTCTTCACCAGCTATTCTCTAACTGTCTGTTTGATCGTCTGAAGAAAACAGCTGCTGCTGGAATTGGGGTTTTCACTTTATACCCCCGTCACATTCTTACCCATTTGAAAAACACACCCCGCTATCCGTCACACGCGCTCTCACAAACCATATAGCTTTACGGTCTAGTTTCTGATTCCTTGCAATTACCTTAGATTAATAGAAATACTCTCGCTTAGAACACACTGTACACCAATACACATGCTTATCAAGGACGTTGGTTAATGAGGAGGTCAAAATTAGAATCTATCCTTTAATTATACTAGTAGATACAAAATAATGCATTACACCAATGGGCTGAAATGTGCGCTCTTTGTCTTCGTCATTTTGTTTTTGCATAACAGAATACATGCTGAATTCCAGTGCATAAACAACTATCCACTTGAAAACAGCCTTCATGGCGCAGTTGGACAGCCAAT